CGCGAACCGACTTGGTCTGATACTGTACAATCAAACGAGCCAGCTTCAAGCGATCATCTCTACCAAGCCTCTGAACCCTCTGACAGGGGTTCTTTACAATCAATCCATCGTAGTGGTGCTGGAATTCCACATCGGCCTCCCATTCATATAGCGGGCTCCGCTCTCTGAAGTAATAAGGCCGGCCATGCTTCATAACGACCTCGTACAGTTTGCGAAATTCTTGAGATCTTCCGGTCTTGATATCTCCATTTGGCAGTACCACCACACTTGCATGCCACGGCATATCACCAAATAGGTCGCCTTGCCGCAGTAGGGGAATAGAGATCTTGTTTCGCCCCAATGAAGGGTGAATCGAGAGACGGATGTATTTTCCAAGTGTGGCGTTAATGACGGCTTCATATGCCTGAGAAATCGGTGAGCCAGGGAAGTCAGACTTTAAGAACAACTAAAACGCAAAGTATCCCAAGCGAAACTCCAAGTGAAACTTACGATGAGTCGGTTGATCATGGTTTTCGCCATCTTAGACACCTCAGCCGCGTAGAGTGCCGGATCGGCCGCGATAAGAGGGTCAAACCCTTTGGCCCATTTTAAATCCTCTGATATGCGACTGAAATAGCTGTTGTATGTGGTCTTGGTATCTGAATTTGCCTTCAACTCATAGTCAATATCGAATCTCGGATCGAAGTATGCCGGTGACATCAGTTTCTCCCTGCAGCTGGGGACGAGACGCAGGTAATCTGCCTTGGGAATTCTCTCGCCATCTCCTAACCCCAGCAAACTCATCAGCCGGATGAACTGTATAGAAGAAAAATGCTTCTCTTGGGCGATTTTGCGCAGCTCAATGCCATAGTCGTAATATTCGTCGTTGGGAACGCCGACCAAATCTACACCGTCAGTTTATTTTATCACTGCTGGATTGATATAACAAATGGCATACCATTATATACTGGTCCGTCACAAATGAGGATAAGTCGTGCGCCGTAAGGGTAGACCTTTGAAATCTCCTCGCACAAGTGATTCAACTTCGCCAGACCCATTTCTTCTCCTAGATCAGCCCCATCCCCTAGTACTTTGTCCTTATTTGGGCTCTTCCATGGAAATGCAGGTAAGACCATGGTTATCGGCTGGTTTGCGGTGATGTTCATCTTCAGCTTCTCAGGCACAGAGTCAAACACCCTTCCGACGTCTCTCTGATGGCCATCGTCGCTCGAATGCAAGCAAAACCGCTTTAGCACCTCGACAACCTTTAGAGGCACTTCATCTGGAGCATATTCGAATTTCATTGTAAATGGAATGCCGAGGAATTGATGGATGGGTGCAGCAAAATGGGGGGGTGAGTTTTCGGACGTTATTGTTATCCCTCCGTGTCAAGATCAGCATCTGATTATTGCAGTGACATATAGCTTACAGTATTTTATAAGTTACCTGCACACTATATAGGTATTCTTACATGAAGTAGTACCCGTAATCGGTAAAACTAGAACATAGTATTTGCCAATTTCTGCAGGGAGCAGGTACATCGACTGCACAATGTACGTAGCACCTAGGAGTCACATTTTAGATTTCACCTCTCCTCCTCCCATTTTCTTTAATTTGTTTTTCTCTTTAAAGCCTTACTAAACAATATGGGCCAGCGAAACATACCACAGAGCAGTGCGGCCGGAATATGCTCGACGACCGCTGGTTCGTCCTACACAACGTCGGCCACTACCTATACCGAAGAATCCCCGATATTTGTTCAACAAGATCCTCGCCAACAAGATGAATACCGCAAAGCCGAGAATAATGAGATCCCCAATGGGGGTCTCGTAGCCTGGACCCAGGTTCTGACTGGACATCTGGTTGTGTTCAATGTATGGGGCTACATTACATCGTAAGGGAGCCCTGTCACATAAGATGTTAATTCAAACCATTGACGCAATCTAGGTACGGTTTCTTCCAAGAATACTATGTCAAAACTCTCGATGTCAGCCCAGCAAATGCATCTTGGATCGGAGCGGTGCAGATGTTCTTAGTCCATTTCCTGGCCACTTTCTCAGGCCGAGCGATGGACGCAGGCTACCTGAGACAATGCATCACCCTTGGATGTTTCTTCCAGGTTGCCGGGGCATTGGCGACCTCATTCGGCACAAAATTATGGCATTTTTGGTTAGCGCAAGGCATTGTCAGTGGAATTGGCCACGGACTCGTCTTCAGCCCCATGATCTCGCTGTATGCGACATACTTCAACTCCAAGCGAGTGATGGCCGTCTCGCTGGCATCTTGCGGGGCAGCGACTGGGGGGATGGTTTTCCCAGTGGTCGCTTATAAGTGTCTCAACAATATCGGCTTCGCATGGACTGTCCGGATTATGGCAGCCATTATCCTATTCAACAGCATTATAATTATCAAGTTTACCAGAGCTCGGATTATACCTCGGAGTCCTCCTCCCTGGGTTGATTTCAGTGCATTCCGTGAACGCCCTTACCTCCTTTTTTCGATCGGCTCATTCCTGATCTTCGAGGGTATTTACTTTGCCTACATTTATGTAAGTTCTGTCTTGTTTCTCACATTGGTTGGCGGCATAATAGCTAACATACCTAACAACATCTACAGCTTAGACAATATGCCCAGGCCCACACAGGTTTCACCGCATCTGACTCACTTCTCCTTTTAATCCTGATGAACGGCGTTGGTGTTGCGTCTCGCATTGCATCCGCATTTGTGGCAGACCGGTGGCTGGGTGCGGTAAGGACTTGCATTGCAGTCTCCATCCCTTGCGGTATCGCCATTCTAGGGTGGATTGGTGTACACACCCACGTTGGCATGTTCATCTGGGCTACAGTCTATGGGTTACTGGTTAATTGTGCGCAGAGTCAATTGCCCGCTGCCAATGCGTACTTTGGATCCAAAGACCCGGAAAAATCAGGCACACGTGTTGGGATGATTACCACGATCAATAGCATTCCACTACTGACTGGACCGTACATAGCAGGACAGCTGATCGCGTTACGGGGAGGCGATTACCTGTACGCGCAGTTGTTCGGGGGTATTTGTATCTTGACTGGAGCGTTGTTTGTAGTCGGTTCTCACCTTTCGGGGGCTTGAAATTACTATCCATGCATGATTGTATTTGAACAGAGAGTTATGCCGTGTATCTACTTGTCTTAGTTACTCCGAGGATGACGATTATCAAGCTCTGAATGAGGTATCACATTTAAGCCACATAACACGGTTTTATTGTTTAGCGTGTTACTACCCTATCTTTACAGTCCTCGTATAAACATAAACATAAGCATAAACGTGAATGTGAATGCATGTCCCCCTTTGCAAATTGCCTCAACTGACCTTGAAACATCCGAGTCAACGAAAAGTGTGTGACCCGCTCTGTTTCGGAATGACCTCCCTGCCATCACGTTTTCTCCAACTCCTCTCATCACGGGCCTTCTCCTCCACCAACGGAGCATTACACAAAATGGCACTCAGGCCTCTCCATTACCACCTTCCATTGTTCCCAGGGTTCCAGCTGCTGGACGTGGCGGCCCCACTGGACATTCTCAACATTCGAACGCAATACCCTGACACATCAGCCATCACCCTGACTATATCAGCGGAAACTCTCGACCCAGTCTCAGTGAAACCAATCCCACCTCCTAAGGCAAAATGGCGATTTGACCTGCCCGTCTCAAACATCAATACAGCTTGTAACCAGCAAATGCTACCACAATGTACATTTGCTGACGTGATCTCTGCCCTGAAAGCGGGGAAAGTTGCCGATGATGGCAGTGGTGAATTCAAACCTATCGACGTGTTGATCATTCCAGGTGGCCCGGGGACACGTCTGAACCGTATTTACGACACTGATACTACATTCAACGAAGTCAAAGTCTCCAACACGCAAGAGGTTCGGGACTTTCTGACAGCTGTTGCGCCCTATGTCCGTCACAGCATCATAACTGTTTGCACCGGCAGTCATGTCCTTTCGCAGACTAGGCTTCTAGATGGACTCCAGGTAACAACAAATTCATCCCGCTACGATGATATCGCTAAACAAACGGGCGGCGTGAACTGGCAGCGCAACAGACGGTGGCTGCGTGATAGTGTCCCCAAGGATGCGGTGTCTGATGGCTTGTTGTTGCCTGGGATTGAGATCTGGTCATCTGCTGGAATCACTGCGGGGATTGATGTAATGCTAGAGTTTATCTCAGCGCATTATGGTGGTATCGCAGTCGGAGTAGAGACTGCGAAACGGATGGAGTATCGCTGGGAGCGAGAGAAGGAAGCTTCTTACTTCCTGTAACGGGTTCCCCAAAAGGTTCTCGAAGTTACAGACAGGCTCAACCTTTCATGAGCCAGGTTTCAGACGTAATACTCGATGCGAATGGCGAATGATCCTTGGGGATGGAGGTCTTGGCATGAATATAGCCAGGCCGTGAAGCTAGAGCAATTTTAAACACACAACATGCCATCCCTAAAAACTCCAGTACTTTGTGTCACTGGTATACACTGTAGTTTGTCAGAGAGCAGCGGGTATTTGATCGGTCAGTCTAGCTTCGCGCGCCCCTCTAGATACATCCTGGGCCTTTTTGGCTTTATGTGATGTATTTCTTCAGCCGTCAAAACAATGAAACATCATATCGACATGTTACATTTACCCCGGAGTCTTTTGCCATTGATTAATTCCCCTCTATCCCGATCCCTTGTGTAAGATATACCTAAATGTAGCCTAATGCCTAATCGGGAAACCGCTTGCCAGATCATGCATGAGCAGTCAGCTCAACAGCTATAGAATTCTTTGGCTGGGAGAGCATCTTCAAATGGTCAAATAGTAACGGCGTTTGCTGTGATACGGTGTATCAATGGGTAGTATCCAAATGCCTAATCTGGATATATGGAAACAGTCCTACTTCAAAGTCATGTATTAGTTTCAGCATACAAGTAATCAGATGGTAACCAATACCACTATATCCTGTGCAATAGCATAGTTTTTATTCAATAACTCACCGAAGTAAAGTTATTAGAAGTACAAAAATAACGAGGAAGAGGGAAGGGGGAGGAAGGAGGCGGCAAATGGAGTTTTAACGGCGAATAAACATGAAGGCTATGAGCATAAGAAACCAAGAGCAAAGTTGCAAGAGAAAGCCACCAGATTCCAATACAAGTTACCAGGGTACCACCCCTATAAATCACGAGTACATTCGAATACCAAATCTACCCCTTCCCAATCCCTAGCTGCCATTGACTTTCCCGCTCTCATCTACCATGAGCTACATCAAAATGCTAGCGACAACGGTAGTCAAAGTATCTCCCCACTTAGACATAATTCCTTTCGACTGTATCACCCCCGTCCCAAAGACACGAGCCTCATTCCTCCCCAAACCACAACCAGTCGCTTCAAAGCCAGAAACCACCACCGACACTCATCTCGACCCACCGGCAGTATGTTCCACCTTAGCCCGCCTAAAGGCAGAGGAAATAATGAACATCGTGGAGCGCTACGGCTCCCACGAGCGCACAACCACAGCCGGAGAATGGCTGGGCCGGTCATCGTTTACGCCGCGTGTCCAGACACATGTTGCAGCCAACAGAGCAATTCCTATGGTTCTACCTGCTTTTCCGATGAAGAGCAATAACCGCATGGACAAGGTGCTAGGTTCACTTCCAGATTTGGGGGATGAGCTTGGGTTAGCGCGGTTAGTGAATCTTTGTCGGGATATCAAGGCTGTTTACCCGCCTGGTGCAGTTGTGGTTATGGTTACGGATGGGATTTGCTATAATGGTGCGGGGTTGAACCCTTCTATTAATTTGGATGTCAGATACAGGATCGGACGCTAATATGATTTGTGGATTCTAGATCTTACGGGGATTTCTGATGAGGAGGTCTGGGAATATGGGAATCGACTGCGGAAGATCACCGTTGAGAAGGGATATGCTTGCATTCAGTTCCATCGTATTATGAATATGCTGGGTCTTTACACTAGCGCCCATATTTCAAAATCGGATTATGTGAAGCTCTGTGGTTTATCCAGGGCTGAACTCCATCGACGGTGTGGGCGGCCGGGGTTTGATGTCGATAAGTTTTTGAAAAATGATGAGGATTATCTCAGGACTTATAATGGTAAGTGTGTGGCTTTCAAGTCGAGTTAATATCTCCCAGCTGATTCAATACAGGATATGACAAGTTCATGAAAGTCGATCTAAAATTCAGCCCAGTGACTAAAGATTGCGCCGGTCCTAAACAATATAAGAGGAGGATCAAGATTATCGCAAAAGCCATGATTGTCCGCGGAGTGGTAAGTCTTTTTTAGAGCGCCATATAAAGCGACAAGGTGGCTAATCTCTAGGTTGCAGGAGTACGCAGAGCTAGTACGTCAAGTTTACCCCGACTCACTGCGTCTCTCCATTCATCCCTCATCGGGGCAGACAAAGCTCTCCTGTCCCCTTATTCCGCAGAAGAACTCATTTTCCATGAGCCCTTGGCACTGTAGTGTGGCAGTGACAACCGCAGGGGAATTCATAACAGCTCACCAATCCGTACATCGGCAGAAGTTCGACCTCATTAAAAAAGATGGACAACCATATTTCTTCCGTGAGAGCTCGTCGCTTTTTAATTGGGACGCCAGAGTTGATTTTGAGCATCATTATGGGCAAAAATTGGTTGTTAGGGCACAAAAACAGATTGATCAAGAACTATCTGACTCGGATTTGGACAAATTGGCACTTTTGGCAATTCAACAAAGAAGTGTGTCTTTTGTCTTTGTATAAATCTGATATTTTGAAGGAAAATTCATGTTCAATTGCTCGTGAAGTTCCTTGAATATTGTTATATAAATCTAACGATGTAACAGCCATGGTAGATCGATATCTATAGCCGAATTTTAAAGGGTTATTATCGTTCTAAACTAGTTAGTTAGCCCAGTGACAGATAGCACTGGTACCAGTATGAAAGCTCTCATTATAGCGAATTACCTGAAAGACCTCAGGCCACTGAAGAGTGCGCTCAACCATTGCACCCTTGCAACTGCCTGTGATTTCGCTCTTGAAGGCCGTGAGCCTCCTTATCTCAAAGACCAGGTAATAGCACTATTTCCTGGCAAGCAGCCCAGATGCAACGAGTTGGCTAGCTGCTAGAGGCAGGGACTGGTCACCGGCGTGGTCGACGAAGAAGTAGCCGATCAAGCACTGGCGGAGCCTCAAGAAGACAATGTGCAGCCCGTGGTGGAGAGGCTTATGGAGCGTAATATGCTAGTATGTATAATGAGCCCCCGGCCATAGGCCATGTCGATGTATACAGCTGGCTAATTGAAATCGTGGCTTATAACTGGCTGACGCACCCGGATGAGTTTGATTTCGATCTCGTGGCGCAGGTGCTTGCATTTTTGACTTAGTTTGTGTGTTTATCGCTCTCCTTCATTTCTGCGACCTCGGTCTCGGAGCGCATGATGCTGCTCTCATCCAACTTGATGTATTGGCCGAATGTTCACTTCAAATCTATTGACCTATGAAAACGTCAGCTGATACAATCAATGTATGCCATGACGCTGAGTCTATGTAGTAATGAGTTGTTGGAAAGACTAAGAGTCCTAAATCGAACATAGCAAGTCTACACTACAATTTACTTCGATAAGACAGGTTTAGAAAAAATGAGATATACTCGTCACATTGACGGGCTCACGTCCACATAGTCCACATCTACAAGGCCATACGGCACTTGGACACATTTCATACATCTGTACAGAAACGCAGAAACGCACAAACAAAAAGCTTAAGATAAAACACAGAGAGACAGGGAGTAATGGAAAGAGAGGGAGGTAAGGAGAGATAGGGAATAAGCGTAGGGAAAAAAAGCCATTAGCTCTGTCAAAAAGATACCACCCAAATCCATTATTAATGTGCAAGTCCAAAGACTGAATGACCAATAGTTCATAAGAGAGAGCTTTCAAGTGGAAGCCAAAAGTAGTGAAAAGATTTCGTCCCAAATTTGGTTGTCCCAGTGCCATTGAAAGGGATAAAAAAATATTTGGTAAACAAAAGGGGGAATATGTCAAGAAAGAAAAAAATGGATAACGCGACACATGCAGTGACGACCGATCGTCGCTCGGAGTATCATGTTGAGAAGAAAAGTGGCCGGTCAAAAATTGCACAGAAAGAAGAGATACGTGATATGTGACATGTAAATCCTTGGCGGATGATATACAATGAAAATGAAGATTTGTGCAGTCTCTCTGTCCAAACCTCTCTTGGAGAGTGGGGGAGAGCATGAGCGCATTGAAAGGAGCAGTTATCTCAGAAGAAATAAGGGTCCTCGAGGGCCCAGTGCCCTCTGATTGTCATCGTGGGGTCCAAAAGGAGGTGGGATATGATGGAAGGAGCGGTTTATACGTCGTATTGTCAAAAGCATATCTAGTTCCATCCCAAAGAATTCTCTGCCATAACGGGAGCACTGATCATCTGTGAACGAGCAGTGCCACGGCTACCTTGGCTGGGGGCACGACCACCGGAAGCAAACATCGAACCAGCGGCGGAACCTCCCTGGCTCATCTGCTCAGCGGTAGAGCTGGAGCGCTGGTGCAGCTGCTTTCTCTTGCGGTAGCGGCGGGCAACCCAGAACATACCCGCACCGTAAGCGGCAGCACCGGCCACAACACCGACTCCGATTCCCACGGAGCTAGCCTTAGCCTTGGAGCTTCCGGCAGAGCCATCGGTGTTGTCGTTAGTGCCACTGTCCGTGCCGTCATCGCTGCCGCCATTCTTGATACTGCCAGTCGAGTCGCTTTCGCCACTGGGGTAGTTTCCAGAGAACTCGAGGGGAATTGTGGGGTCAACCATTGACATCAATGACTGGATGGATTCGCTAGCTTGGGTGTAGAGAGCAGAATTGGGGTTAACTTTAAGCGTTTTCAGGGCATCGACCTTATCACGAGGGAAATAGAAGATAGCAATGGTGGCGTTATAGCCCGTGGACTGCCAGTTGTAGTAAGGCTCAATAGCAAACATAACAGGGCTGTCCTGAGCAGAGAGGTTTGGCAAAGCGTTCTCAATAGCCTGGGGGGTATAGTTGAAGATCTGCGACGACGACAAGGGTGTAGTTGCAACAAATGACCAGGGCAGCTGACTGTTGAAACCAAGCTGGAGCAAGATAGAGTCAGACGGAGCCTCGGTGACTTCATTCGACGGGGTGATAGAGCCAGGGAGCGATGGTGGTGCCGTGGGCTTCGCAGTCTCACCGGAGGTCGAGCTCTCCGTGGCGGTGACGGTAGGCACAATAAGAATAGTCGATGGCATCCAGTCATTGTCGTTGGAGGTGGAAGTGGAAGTGGAGGTGGAGGTAGAGAGCGTAGGCATCTCTGTCGTCTGAGACTCCACGGTGGTCTTAGCCGTGCTCACTTCTTCGCTCGTCGTCGAAGTCGACACGGGAAGAGGGATGTAGGCTGAGTGAGAGGTGGGGGTGGGGGTGGGAACCTTGGAGCTCTCGTAAGAGGCACTACCGGGAACAGAGGCGGCGGTGGTAGTAGTACCTAAGAAAGGAGTCCAGATACTAGAACCAGAGACAGTTGCCGATTCAGAAGTAGAGGTAGAATCAGATCCGGGCGACTGTGGGACAGGAACTGATCCCAGGGTCTTGGTCGGGGTGGGGATGGCACCAGTGTTGGTACCTCCCTGGCCAGGAATGAGAGCAGTCGACTTGGACGGCAGAAGACTACCATTTGGAATAGACGCAGTCGGAATCAAAGCAGTGCTACCAGTGCCAGTAGAGGTGACACCAAGGATGGAATCCACGCTTGACACGAGACTGCCGACGAGATCACCAGGAGTTGTAGTTCCAGTGGGGGTGGGGGTGGCCAACGGTGAGCTAGTAGCAAACGCAGGCACGCTGACTGGAATGGTAGGCGAACTATACGGGTCGGAGGACACAGTAGCACTTGTGCTGTTACCGGTGGAAGACTTGTCACCCAAACCCAGAAGGGCAGAAAGATCCGACCCCGAGCTTGCCATGCTTGAGGCTGCACTGCTGATCTTGTTGGCGCTAGAAGATCCAGTGGGTGTCGCAGACACGGAGGTTGTTGATTCGCCGAGAATGCCGCCCAATCCCGAGGTTAGGTCACCAAGGACACTGTCGCTGGAGGATGCAAAAGGAGTAGAAGAAGCAGACGAAGTTACCTTAGCTGATAAGTCGGAGACGGGGGTAGTCAAGGATGTGGAACCACCTCCGACGAGGTTGCCCACATTCGAGGTCAAATCACTAAGGAGACCGCCGCTAGATATAGCAGTAGCAGAAGAAATAGGCGAACTGACCACAGCTGATGAGCCGGAGGCGGGGGCCGCAGTCGAGGAGATAGAATCAACTCCGAGGATACTGCCCACATTCGAGGTCAAATTACTCAGGAGACCGGCGCTAGAGGATGTGGTGGTAGCAGCAGCAGCAGTAGAAGTAGGCGAAGTTACCACAGCCGATGAGCCGGAGGTGGGGATCGCAGTCGAGGATATAGCACTACTGCCTAGGAGGTTACCCACATTCGAGGTCAAATCACTCAAGAGACCGTCGCTAGATGATGTGGCAGCAGCAGCAGCAGCAGTAGAAGTAGGCGAAGTTACCACAGCCGATGAGCCGGAGGCGGGAATCGAAGTCGAGGATATGACCGCACTCGAGGATGTGGAAGTACTACCGAGAAGGTTACCCACATCCGAGGTCAAATCACTAAGGATACCACCGCTAGAGGATACAGCAGCAGTAGTAGTTGAAGCAGGCGAAGGTACCACAGCAGATGAGTCGGAGACTGGGGTCGTAGTCGAGGATATGACCGCACTCGAGGATGTGGAAGTACTACCGAGAAGGTTACCCACATTCGAGGTCAAATCACTCAAGAGACCGTCGCTAGATGATGTGGTAGCAGCAGCAGCAGCAGTAGAAGTAGGCGAAGGTACCACAGCAGATGAGTCGGAGACTGGGGTCGTAGTCGAGGATATGACTGCACTCGAGGATATGGAAGTACTACCGAGAAGGTTACCCACACCCGAGGTCAAATCACTGAGGATACCACCGCTAGATGATGTAGCAGCAGCAGCAGTAGAAGTAAGCGAAGGAACTACAGCCGGTGAGTCGGAGACCGGGGTCGTAGTCGAGGACGTAGTGGCAGCAGCAGCAGCAGCAGAAGTAGGCGAAGGTACCAGAGCCGATGAGACCGGGGTCGTAGTCGGGGAGATAGAATCAACTCCGAGGATACTGCCCACATTCGAGGTCAAGTCACTAAGGATACCATCGCTAGAGGTCGTGGCCGAAGGAGACGTAGTAGCGGCCTCGGCTGATGAGTCGACTACCGATCCCTGCTGGCTCGTGGCTCCCGCATCGGTAGATGCGGCCTCGGAGTTCTGCGTACTCGTGTTCTCGGTGCTCGAACCCTCTGTCTGCTGCGTAGTCGTGGTAGTGGTACTAGTCGGTTCACCGCCAATGGTCGTAGTACCAGTGATACGATGGGTGATCTCGGGGTTCTTGGGGTCGATCGAGATGGTCACAATAACCACTTCCTGTCCCTGCTGGGGCTGAACGGCGGCCGAGGGTTCGGGGGTGGTTTCGGGGGTGGGGGTAGCCGTGGATGAAGAAACTTGGGTAGGAATCACGTTGTCGAAGACGGCATCGAAGATTGAGCCAGGTTCGGGCTCAGCGTTTCTGCGAATAGTTCGCTTGACTTCCTGCGGGAAGTACCAACGGGGTCGCTGAACGTGGGCTTCGGGGGCATCTTGAGCTGCGACGAGCTCAAGACCGCCTACAGCGAGGAAGGCTGCGAGAACGGAGATGGCGTCGGGACGCATGTTGAACAATTCTGTACGTGATCGCTCAGAGCGGGTCCAAGGTCAGTGTACAAAAATGCGATAACCACCGTCTGTCAACACCTCATGAATGATCAGGGAGTGTGACCAGGAGGTAGAGTGCCTGGAATATTCGAGTTTCCAACACAACCAAGCCCCGGGCAATTGCGATAAATTCACAATGTCAAGATTATTCAGAGTATGCAACGTCTCGATGGCAACCGATGAGACCGAATTGGCGCAAACAATAACTCGACGATAAACGAATGGAAAGGGGGATTTCGATCAATCTGAAACGACCCCCAAAAGGCGAAAAAACGAGTGTGGGCTTAGAAAAGCTGTAAGGAGTGAATGACGACTTTCTGTAGAACCGTCCGGGCAACGAGGTCAAAGAAAGTGAAAACAGAAAATGCGGGTGACCGATGCAAGGGGAGAGTAGCCCAGGTCAACGCGAACACAGCAAAAGCAGACAAGGGAGAGAAATAAAGGAGTGAATGAGTGAATGAAGTTGATCAGAGAAGAAGAGGATCACTTCATCATTAGGGGGGGAAAGGTGGAATGGGGGGCGGGACACGTTATGGTAGCGTCAACAAGGGTAATTTACGGTAAATTACATCTTTTAGTGTATTTAACGAGCTGGTCCGGGCAGGTGCGTGGGATGTGGCCACGCACTTGCCCCTGAGTGTAGTTCTTGGATATTGAACTTGATCCTATTCCAACAATGTAGTAACTATGTTGTATGTTTAATAGATAAGCTGATCTGATTATGGACATCTATTGTTGTAACAACATATTTATACCTATTTATAACCCATTTGGAACCTCTGAAGTCAAACATATTCCAAGACCCTCATATGAAACCATACTAAACACTAACCTGCCGATATCAGCCATTTAGGTACGGAGTCGTCTAGTCAGTATTTCGTAAATAACGGGAATGATGGCCCACGCCATGCAGAAAACCGAAACCAATAATGAATGCTCATGGGGGAAGAATGAGTCTGTTCCCTATAGGTCCACGGCCGCTTTGCTTTGTATATAGTACAAGTATATCTGAGCCCTCTTCGGCATTTACAGTATAGAGACCGATGTACAAGTACTCCGTACTCGGACGATATTTCCCTTTTCTTCTCTTTTGCCGTTACGCCGTTCACCCGTGCAACAATAATATATACATTGGAACATAAACTGGCTATTGCGAATATCGATCGACAATCAAAAAGCATGATAAGATGGCAAATCAACATACCCAACTCAACCCATACAATATTGCACATATACCTTATGTCTGTCAGATATGAAGTATAGCGTAGACATATAAAATTCGAAGAATGAAACTATTTTCGCGCAATGTAACACAATAATGGCAGCACTTAATTTCGAACGAAAAACCCCCCAAAAAAAGACATAAAGTCCGTGTTAGGATCTGAAAGCGTTTTTCATTTGAGGCGATCAATAGCCCCGGAGACCATTGACGAAAAAAATGCCGAATTGAGTCGGGGCTAAACCCACCTAAGCCGCGGATCACAATATAAAAGAAGGAAAAAGTGAGAAAAAGGCGCCAAGGCCAAAGACAATTCCGAGCAAAGTTCAGTCCGTCGCAAGGTCTAGCCCCGGAGGCGTCAACTAAGTGGGCCCTTCCCACACACGTACCTGAGCGTGGAGGGAATCCGTGCGTGGCCCCAATTACACATTACCATCATTAGTTGTGGCTCAAGCTCGCCAGTCTTACACACCTACCCCCTTCTGGCTTAAACCCAACAAAGAAATCTCGTGGGTAGCCGCCGTTAAGAAGTACGGAGTACGGAGTACATACGGAGTAAGAGAGCTGTCCGATGAACGAGCCACAAGTTGGTCCTTCCATTTCCATGTCTCGTGAGACATATATAATTGTCGTACTTGGCTAGCTTGCGAGTTATACAACTATGCTGTGCAACACCACTAGTACTAGTTCAATCCACTATGGAAGTAGGGGATGAGCCCTGACTCAAAATTGGGTTATTAGAACGACGGTATATTAAGAAATGTTTCACACTATATCGAAGGTTAAGGTTTTATCTCTAGAACCATAGACTAATAAAGATTAGCTGATACAAACACCTGCCCATACCGATGTTGTAGTGTACAACATATTCTCCATATCTGAAGCTGATTGAACTGTCAAGTTTAAAAATGATAAAATACACCACGTGCCCCGATCGGAATGGAGGAGTTGGCAGCTGCGATTTCCCCTCATTCTTGCTGTCATTTTCAGGTGCTCAGCATTCCCTAGTGCGTTTGAGATTGTGCCAACCAATGCCAAGTGGTGTAAAATCAACGAAGCCAAGGGTATCGCTAGAATCTGTTTCCCTCTCCTATTACCCTAAGGTCTTGCCTCTTTAGCTTTGTTCAAGGGCTTCTGGCTTCATGCACCCTCGAGATCGAGAAGCCTTTAGGAATGCAGGAACAAAGGACCGAGCATATAAGCATATGTGAGAGCCATGGATGGTCCACGGGTTTAATTATAGTTAACTCAGCCACATTCTCTTTGTTGGACCTAGGACATACTCCAGGACTCTCTACTCCGTATCACGAAGACGTGAACAATATCAAGCGTCCACGGATGCTCCCGGCATCTATTCCAAGGGCCTTTTATATGTTGTACAATAAACTTCCAGGGGTTCATCAACTGTACCATGGACGAGTGTAGACGCTAGTCCTGTTCCTGAGCCCTACAGTTCCAGTCTCCACCCTTCACCCCTGGTTTCAGCCTGTATTTATTGAAAAGTGCTGAACACCAGTTACAGGTACCCAATGCCAAGAATACCGTAATATTTCCAACCAGACTGTAAAATATACGTAGATCATGTGACCGACTCTCTCGCACATTTGATTCTTGTCTCCGGTGGAGAGTGTGACGCGAGTTGAGCCATCAAAAGACTCCAAAAGTGCCATGAAACAGTCCAGGTGGAGGTGTCTGCCCTATTCATTCTCCACATCATCGTCACCTGCAGTCCCGCTCAAAGTCTAGAACTGCGTCCACTGCCAGGCTTTGTGACTAGGCCAGAACACTCGATTTCGACATCCGATCCCTGGGGAAGGGACTTGACGGCAACGCAAGTACGCACCTAAAAGGGCCAGGCCCAATGACAGTGAGAAACGGTCCACTTTTTCAGGAAAAGAATATAAGAGAAAGAGAGACGAATTCCAGACTGGATCATTTTCTCTGTGGAATTCGAATCTCGTTCTTTTTGAGCACAGAATACTTACCGGCTTAGGATCCGAGAAGAAAGTAGCGTAGACTTCATTCACAGCCGAGAAATCAGCCATATCGGTGAGGAAGATGTTGACCTTGACTGCATCTTGGAGACTCGACCCTGCAGCCTCTAGGACTGCATTGAGGTTGCGGAGGATTTGTCGCTTTTCACATGTTAGAAAATATATCACAAATCAGACTTCGCGTCTCTCATACTGTTCGGTTCTGGATGCTTCCCTCCACCATTTTACCCGTGGTCGGGTCTACTCCCAACTGACCAGAGCAGTAGACCATGTTGCCGACGACGATACCCTGGGATAGGATTGGGGGTGGGGTGGGTGCACCCTTGGTACTAACGGGGGTACGTGTTGGCTTGGACATTTTGAAGGATGTGAGTGAGAATGAATTCTGTCAGAATAGGAATCGAGAGGAATTTGTTGAGAGTAGTCCAAATTATCTGGCCCCAGGGACGTTATCGATTAGAAATCCCCACATTGACCGACTTCCCGAGGTCGGAGCCCTCTGGAGCACTCTTGAGCGCCCTTGTATGTTGTAAAGCACAACTCCCGATAAGGAGATTCGTATACACGGCCTTAAAGCCGGTATATACTGCTATATATATAGATGGTGCCTGGCCAGGATCACCAGCTCATAGTACTCTTTTAGATGTCTATATGTCCTTATCAAGTATACGAGGTTAAGGTGAAGACTTTCAGATTAACGAGGTGGATTAATGGAGTAGAACTATGTAGGTATCGAGACACCGCATAAACCTAAGATATAGCTTCACGGTGACAGATCATATGATTTCTGAATATAGAAAGGTACTTAGATGGTGTCATGGTGCGGTCGTAAGTCATATAATAGGTATTAAGAATACTTTAGGGATATCATACTTAACTTATACAAGCTAATTGAGAATTGCGACCAGGTGGATATACCCGAAGTAGCTAGTGGTGAGTGTGAAGAGTGTGTCCGTAGTATTTCTCAAAATATGTTGTATAATAATGCATCACTTTATTATTCTTGGCGAGAGCACGATCACCCCTCGTATCAACGAGACATTTCTATGGTACCATACCACCTCAAATAACAAGGCGGGAGAGATCGTCAAACTCACGGGAGGAGATATGATTGCGCCAGAAGCGCAGACCCTCAATTCCTTCTTCTCGACAGAGAAGCCCCCGATCTTCAGCCATCTCCAGCTCTTCGGCAGCCACCCCAACGCTCCATTTGAACCGATGCGCAGCTTCTTGTGCAGTGACGGCCCGACCAAAGAGAGACCAATCCCACGGGACAGGATCGCCAGGGGGAACTCGCCGGAGCTCCTCCATCCAGGCCTCGAGTTTTTCAATGGTCTTCTCGTCACTCCAGTCATATCGCTGTACAACAAGAAGACCACTTTTGAATCGTCGTAGACGCACTGGTAACTTGAGCTTCTCCCACAGCTCCGCTGCTTTCTGAAACTCCGAAGGACTGGTCAATTCTACTCCATTACGGGACCGATTGAACAAAGCCCAGAGATCAATTAGACTCATAATCCCACCTTCCCGCTGCAAAATGCCTTTTCGGTCATCAGTGAGATACTCGGCTAGGTCGCGCGCAAGTTCTGATAAATATAGACTTTCAGATCCAGAACTAAGCATGTCTTTAGTTGTCACCATCCCGAGAGCCGCAGCGGACTCAGATAGCACCACGCTGGTTTCTGGAGAGCCTTCATTAGTAGTCATGCCAGACTCACGCGCCAGAGTCTCGGCCAGCGCAACGATCTGCTTGGCAGAGGCCATCAAAGCCTCCAGGTCTTCAAAGGCGTTCCCTATGACCTGCTCGTTTTTCCTCCGGGCTTCCAGCCCTCGGCGTTCTAACCCCGCGATACCAACCCCGGAATGTCGTGGTGCCGAGGGTATAGGACTTTCAACGCTAGCGGCAGGAGAGGGTAAAGCTGGCGAAGAGGCGGTTTGCGACGGCGAAGGTACCGGGGGCGCATTTTGCAAAAGCCATTTTCTTTGAACCAAGGCCCCCTTGAGTCTTTCATGGAATGTCTTATCGCCACCTGCACGAAATGAAAGTTTAATGCTCTCACTAATTTCCGTGTTCGCGATGTGCGATTGCTCAAATAACGGCGCAGGAGAGTCCACACGATTGGCGTTCGCCGAAGAGCCAGCAGATAGAGGCGCTCCACAAATCTCGCATTCCACAAGAGACGGATGGTTCACAAAGGTACATCGCCTACAAGACACAGTTCCCCCGAGCTCAGAAGGCGATAGAGACGTATTGGCATTTGGTTGGCCTGTATCTCGTGTAGTGGCTGGTGATGCAACCGAACTCAGCAATGTAGACTCCCGGCTTGTTGCAGCACTGATCGCCGCTTTGAGAACGGTCGTAAATGGTGGTTTGATGCCACATGCTAGACAAGGAGGTAAATTTGTAGCCGCACTAGCCGTTGCGGGGTCGAAATTGGACGGAACTGGGTTGGAGAATGAGCATATGGGACAGATCCAAGTGGCATTGATTGGCTTTGGAGATGGTGAACTCTGTGAGAGGTTGGTCTGTGGGAGGTGAGAGAGTGACTGCGTTGAATGAAGGGCCGATTGTTGGGCTACAGTCGGGCTAGCTGTTGCGCTCCTCGACTGATCGGTCTTCTTCTTCTGCGGTTTCGGGTATATGATGAGCTTCGGAGATGACTTCAGGAAACCAGCCTTGAATCCGTGGGTTTGTTAGTGATTGGCCAAAAATAAAAGCCTCGAAAGCAAGATGTATGCATGTCGCACCTGAGACTCCACTCTATCGATTGCTTTTAGATCAATAGCCACTGAGTACTTTCGCGGGTCCTCGGCCGCAACATAGCACACTCTGTGAGATGTGAGATAGGCATGGCCATTTTGATAATTCTGGATTTTGTATTTCCTTTTGCCTCTAATCAGCACCCCGCATCAGAAGCTCACCATGAGCTACTTACCCTTCATACAACCCCACCGCGTCTTGGACAAAGAGAAGGATCTCATCAGGTAATAGCAAGGGTCTGAGCGCAGTAGTCAGATCCAGCGACTTGAAGAACATCTAGTAGGTTCAACCAGCTCCCAGCATCAAGGAGATCCATAAAGAGTCATGTCCAAGGCGATTACGATAACCCGATAAGGCGGGATGCATCCGTAGTCGGACAAACTAAAGTCCGGTGAGTAAGCGAGTATCCCTCACCGTCACGAGTCTGTGTGGACTTCACTCTCACCCTCCCCGGGCTCGTGAACATCTCATCTCGTCTTGGAAATAAACGTTCATCAACTGTTCTCTTCTCTCAAAACCAGTACCAGCTGAGGAGTAAGATCAAGACTTGATTCTTCCAGCAGTTCCTCGAGTCCTGCCCCTTCGTAGCTCTTTTCATTCTTACATCTTGTTTCTTTGTTCTCTTTCAAATCTTGCATCTACGATGAGTTCCAGCATACCACCTTGGCGTTCTACCACACCAGGCACAATGTCTAGTGCATTTCCTCCAAGTGGTAAGAAAAATATTTCAACTCAAGTCTCGTTGCTCTGGTGTCAGGAGACTAACAACCTAACAGCGGCTCCAGCATACACTCCAGTCCAAGCGCGTCGTAGCCTCGCCCATCATACCAAGCCAACAAATGGAACAGTTCCTACCAAACCCACTCAGTCGGCACCACCGGATACAGAAGCCCGGGCGCGAGTGGAGTTCCCCCCACCCGTACGCTCGTATGTGCAACGCTGTTTTGCTCCCGAAAATCAGGTTGCAAGCGTGAGCATTCCTGAAATGCAGGAGAAGTTGAGGCACGTCATTACGGAGGCGGCCCAGAATGACAAGCTGGGATTGATCGACTGGGAAAGGCTACCTTTGCCCCAAACTATGGTGCAAAATGAACGCAACAAGATCCTGGCCAACCCCAGCTCTTCAAACTGGGCGTCCAGCCACCCGGCTTCTCCGGGAGATGCCACACGGAAGCGAAAGTCAACTGACGGCCACCAATCGGAAACTGGATCGCCACCATGGAGAAAAGCTAACCGCAATCGTTTTGAAGATCGAGTTACTCACCCTACCACAGAGAAAAAACCACGCATAACACTGGACCAGTCTAGTAAGTCCAAAGCTAATTTGGAGATGAGGAAGAAGCGTTTTGAGGGAGTTGGGGCTAGCGGGAACTCTCCTTCTTCTCCTGCAGAATTGCCGATGCGTCCTGCTGACGCGGATCACGGCCCCGTTGTCGGGCGATGCCAAACATTGGAGAAGAACTACTTCCGATTGACATCTGCTCCCAACCCGGACAGTGTTCGTCCTTTGCCGGTTTTGCAAAAGACCCTGGATCTATTGAAGAGAAAATGGAAGGACAATGGCAACTACGGTTACATTTGTGACCAGTTTAAGTCTTTGCGTCAAGACCTAACGGTTCAGCGCATCCGAAATGAATTCACTGTCGTCGTCTACGAAATCCACGCCCGCATCGCCTTGGAAAAAGGGGATCTTGGTGAGTACAACCAGTGCCAGACCCAGCTACGAGTGCTGTATGCGCAGCATCTGGGAGGACACCCGACGGAATTCAAGGCCTATCGTATTCTCTATTTCATTTACACACGGAACTGGACGGCGATGAACGACGCATTAGCCGACGTAACTGCAGAAGATAAGAAAGACACGGCCGTGAAACATGCTCTGAATGTTCGCTCTGCCCTTGCACTCGGGAATTACCATCGTTTCTTCCAGCTATACCTTAATACGCCGAATATGGGAGCCTACCTCATGGACATGTTTGTCGATCGTGAGCGGTTGAGTGCTCTTGCAACCATGTGTAAAGCGTGAGTCTCTTGATTTCCCCTGTTCTGTTTGAGAATTCTCGCTGACCTTTTATCGTAGATACAAACCAGATGTCAACATCCGATTTATCACAGAAGAGCTTGGATTTGAGTCTGATGAGCAGACTGCACGTTTTGTTCTAGACAACTCCTCCGAAGAACTGCTGGCGGAGAGGGACGGCGCTGTAAGGCTGTTGACAGGCAAAGCAGGCACGCTGTTCGATCAAGCCAAAGAAGCGGCACACCGTATCGTCGATATCAAAGGCCAGATCTAACCAAGTTCTCATTTTCCATCTCTTTCTTGCGGCGAGGATTAAACCATTGGATCTCAGTCAAAGCCATTTTCTCATTTTTTTTTTTTTGATTTTGGCGTATCTTCAAAAGCGGGAAGGCGTTCACCACATACGTGCACATGGATACAACATAACCTTTCGAGAGTCGATTGCACATTGACATAGTAAATACCTATAATATCCAATCTATCCAGTACTTATTCCATATGCACAGTTTTGCCTGGTATATCAACACTCCCCTTCAATTGCATATCACGGTAGTATTAGGAAGTGAGATATGATCCACGTGAGGCGAGTGAGCAACTCTGGTCGAGACCTTTTTTGTGCGGGAACCTGCCAAGCACGTACTTCGTAGGGTAGATTACTAGATGTAGATGTGGCCAATGATCGACATTGAACAGAGTTTCTTCAGCTTGCCAGTGCCTCGATCATAATTGTTTTAACTTTTCATCCTTGTATCTAATATTCGAGAGGAAAGTACGGAGTACGGAGTATCCTCATACGGATACAGTCGGCAGATTGCAGGAGCCGCGCATTCGCCCCGGAAATCTAAATTTTTTAATATTAGGGAATTAAGCCCCCAATCTAGGCCCTTTGTTTCTGATACATTTTTCATATCCATTTTCTTTGTTCGGTGGGGTATGTAGGTAGGTGCTCCGTACATATCCAGCCTAAATTAATTTCCTGAAAAATCATTAAAATAGAAAGATCGGAACGGCTTCCAATGGGAGACAACACCAAAATCCACGGTAGAGGTAAACTTTGTAGGTCAACCATGGTTACAAGTGGGGAAATGAGGGGCAAAGATCCTTCTTTTTCTTCTTTCTCGTTCTGTGTACCTACCCTTTCTAGTACATATTTACCTGTATGTATAACTCTGTATCTACCTATATAGGTAAGATGGATATATGCATGTACAATTACCATGTACAATAATATATGTATGTCTCGTACTAGTCAAGGTCCCACGGGTACCTATGGGAGATGACAAATGGGGAGACTCGGACAGAATCGCATTTAGTCTAGTAGGGTGTGATTCAATTACACTAGCCGCCGATGGTGGATTATCATTTGTCTGCCCAACGGCAATAATAATAAATAAATACTAGAGCTGGCGAATACATTCTAATGGTTCTAGGTACGACACCTGACGATGTAAATATGTATACACCGAGGCTCAACCCAAGGTTCAGGGTTGGCGTTATCCTGTATTGACATGACCATACGAGATTGCAGATAAAGATCAAAGACTACATGCATATGGAGTACTCCGTATAGATCCTGAAATACCCAGAATACCCTCAAGAACATCAGAAGATCCCCAAAGAAAGCAAAAAAGCAAAAAGCGGGCCCCCCTGGCAATCATCCAAGCCGCGTGGTTGGAACCGCAATACGGATTACGCTGGTCAAGGTATATACACCTGGGCATTTGACTAGGCCTTGCTCCTCCTTTCCTCCTCTTTGCATCTCTCCTTGAATCCCTTTGCCCTCTTTTACCATGAAGGTGAGTTTCCCTCGTTCCGCAGTATTACCTGGTATCGTGTTTAATTAATCCGGTTTCTAAAAAAAAATCAAATTCCAAGGCCTTTAGACGATCTCTGAAGGGGGAGAAAGATCCCAAACCCCATCATATCTCTATTACACCCAAGTCCGCTATTGCGATTCTACCCCCGAAAAAAGTGAGTTGCGTCCTTGCGCAAGTTCGCCAGTTGCGTTGAAATTCGCCGCTTTCTTTGACCCCTCGCCCCTCCTTGTCCCACTTCCGACTCGTTCTTGGCAGTGGCTGACCGCATTTCCCAGGTAATCAAAGCGCTTTACGACTACCAACCGGAGGGGACCTCGCAGGAATTGGCATTCAGCAAGGGAGATTTCTTTCACGTTATCAGCAGGGAGGACGATTCGGATTGGTACGAAGCGTGCAATCCGCTGATCCCTAGTGCTAGGGGGCTTGTGCCCGTCTCCTTTTTTGAGGTTATCGGCAAAAACGAGAGGGATAGTGGGGGTTCCGGCGACCTGTCCAAGGACCACCACGACTCAGGATTCTCCGACCGCGGTCTTTCCCAAGATTCTTCCACCACCAAGAACGGCGCATTCAGAATGTCTGCACTCAAGGGTCAAGGCGCTATGGTCTACGGAGTTGTCCAGTACGATTTCCAAGCGGAGCGACCCGATGAATTGGACGCGAAGGCTGGCGAGGCCATTATCGTCATCGCCCAATCTAACCCGGAGTGGTTTGTCGCAAAACCAATCGGTCGTCTCGGCGGCCCAGGTCTAATTCCCGTTTCTTTCATCGAGTTACGTGATATGCAAAGCGGACAGGCTGTGGCCGACCCTCTTGACGCGGTGCGACGCGCCGGTGTTCCCAAGGTTGAGGAGTGGAAGAAAATGACGGCGGAATACAAAAACAGCAGTATTACACTGGGCAAAATTGACCCTGGTCACGGTGGGGGCAATATGACGGCTGTCACCTCGGGCATGGATAAGATGTCCATGGGCCACCAGAGTCAAATGAGTCAAAATGACAATGTTTATGTATGCAAACTTTCTGGTTCCCATTTGCGATTACTAACCGATGATGAGCAGGAGCACCAACGTAACGCCAGCAAGGGAACTTTGTCGCAAGTGCCCACATCGCAACAGAGCCAACTTCTCGTCCCCGTCTCCGCCTATATTCCGCGCTACTGTTTCGATAACGACAAGTATTGGTACATCATCGAGGCGAAGATGGAAGACGGTCGCTGCTGGGAGCTGTCGCGTTACTACCACGATTTCTACGACTTCCAGATCGCCCTACTGACCCAATTCGAAGATGAAGCTGGCAACCGTGGCCGTGGGCGAACCCTCCCTTTCATGCCAGGCCCTGTTACCCACGTGACGGATGCGATTTCCAACGGCCGACGACAGAACCTGGACGAATACATCAAGAAGCTCCTGTCTATGCCCCCGCATATTTCGCGCTGTGAACTCGTGCGCGAACTCTTCTCGCCCCGAGAAGGAGACTTCGAAATCGATCCCAATGCGTTCGGCGAGGATGCCCGGTTCTCGGGTGGATCTCAGCACTCCGTCGTGGATCCCCAACAAACCGTGTCGCGCCAGTCTTCGCAGCAGCAAATCAATGCATCCACCGAGCGGGTATCCCAGCAGCGCGCCCCAGCACCCACGCCCTACGCCAATGGTGGCCCGCCGCCCATGAACCGCCAACCTAGCTCTATCACCCAAGCTTCTAGCGCATCGGCCAACAGCGCGATGAAGGTCAAGGTGTTCTTCCAGGATGACCTTATTGCGATCCGCATCCCATCGGGTGTGAGCATGCAGCACCTCAAGGACAAGCTATGCGACCGGTTGAAGATTCAGGACGATATCGTTGTGCAGTACCGTGACGAATCCTCCGGCTCCTATATCGATCTCTATACTGATCAGGACCTGGAGAATGCCATGCAACGGAACATCAAGCTGACCCTCTTTGTCAGCGTCGCATAAAAAGCACTCACTTCTTTCCTGGTGTTGCGGTCAATAGACTTGCCCTTGATTTCATCGACGAGGTTATTTATTGTCAACCTCATATTAATGTTTGCCACGAGTAAGGTTGGTGCATTGGAGTTTTTGAATGACGCATGGTTATTCTTTGATTTTTTTTCTTCTTTTTCAAACTGATCATCAGTTCTTTCAGCGATTTCACATAGTCCATGAGGGCGAGATCGTGATTTAACGAATCTGATGCGAGATGTATGGCACGGTTTCCTTTCTATCTGCCTGTTTTCTTTTTCTTTCTATTTCTTGTTCCTGCGATGTGGCATTATGAGCTTTCTTCTATTTCTGCGTCAATTTCGCATCAGATCTACATCTCATCCTATTCAGGATCATACCCCGGTCTGCCTGCTTCTGTGTTGTGTACATATTTTTCTTACTTCTCGTGCGTATACCGGGGAGGCCTTTTTCATATGAGAGCGGCTCAACCGTGGTATCTCACAGCTCTTTTTGCACCAGCTATAAATGTTGATATACATTATTAGAGAATATTAGAAGCGTTCGGGTAGAGATGCCGCCATGATAGAGTGTCACGTGACTTGCTGACTTGATCTTTGTCCTGATTTTCCAAGGTTCGATTCTAGGAATGTTAATCTTGGTGGTCCGCTACAAGTTTTCACCGTCAGTCCCAGAGCTGCAGGAGCTGTATATATGTTTTCTGTGCCTGTTGTAATTCGGTATCTTTAGCCCGGGCCTTTGGCTTACGAGGACCCGCCACCACTCCAGAGTTATCCGGAGGAAAAACAAATCCTTGCCTACAATACAATACCTCGGTTTTACGCCTTCGCATCGCAACCGCTCTCCGCCAGGGAAACCCGACCTCTAGTCCACCGTCGCACCCGCAAATATAACTTCCAAAAAACCCGCCAATGAGCCGCCCATCGGCAAAGCTATGCGCGGAATGTTTCCCGAACGCGCTGCGGGCGCCTCGGGGCCTCCGCCCTACAATGTTGCGAGGTGCCGCTCGTAGATCCTATGCCACAGAGCAGAGGGCACTCGATACATTACGGCGGCCGAGTCGATCTCCGTTGGTATATGTCTCTCCGGAGAGGATCCGCTCCCAGCCGGCGATTCAGTCACCAAAGGGCCGAGGTCTGGCTACAGTCTCGGACGGCGAGAAGAAGACCGCTGCTGCGCCGCAGGATGGGCCCATGAGGGAATATGAAGTGCGTGTGCGGGATGGGAGACTGAGGGATGACGAATATCAGAGAGGTAAGTTGTGATCAACTCTGGCGCACAGATTCAAGCTGACATGCGCCGATGCTATAGGGATCATCCAAAATCTACAGGACCTCTTCGAGGCACTCAAAGATTACCACCAGCCTAAAGTTGTTCACCCAGAGCCCGAGTCTCTGCACCCTAAGGCAACGTCATCTTTCTTCGGGTCTTTGTTCGGCGGTGGCGTGAAGAAGCACGAAAAGTCCGCTGTCCCCGATAACCTTCCGAAGGGACTG